AGAGAGAGAGAGAGAGTTTTTTCTTAGTGCGATGGTGAAGGAAAGGAAGAGTGTGTGTGGCTAATTAGTGATGGGTCAAGCTGATTCACCTCCTGGAGTTCAGTGCAGGGGACATACTGCAGCATGAAGATGAAGAAACTCCAGGCTATGACTACTTCTGCCCGGCAACAGGAGCTAATGATCCCCCTCTTTTACTTTCCTACACACATACACTTTCTCTCTTGGTATAGCTGGCTCCTGGTTTGTGCTGACACATGGGCTGACTGGGAGCATAGCGTTTCTGCTACAGCCTCCTTAAAATTGCAAGCATGCCTTCTGTACACGTCTACAAAGGTATTGGTATTCTGAAAAGGTACATTATGCCATTGTGCTATTAAGAAAAAGCCATTTCTGTTTGTTCAGTCGGGTAATCTTTTAGATCTGTGAAATATTGGTACTGTACGCCAAAAGCAAACACCTGCCTTAATATCTTTTTCTTTCTTGAATCTTCATTAGCAAAATAGAGCTGATATTCTTTGTTGTGCAGTTTTTCCATAATCTCTTGGCTATTTGTAATCCTATTTCCCATAATGCCATTACTATTGAATCTCAGGCCATTTGTAGGACGCTCGGCTCTCCGATGTGCAACTCCTGCATTATGAGTCCTATTATGTTTAAAAAATGTCTTCTATACTCTTTAAAACAGCAGCTCTAAATATCGAGAGAACTTGGTTATAGCTATGCTGTATTCATAACCTTGCTAAAAGCTGTACTGTTGAGCAGAACAACTCTTCAAACACGCACACAGGCACACACATACTAGCTTAAAACTGGTGATGTTATATTTTAGCAGCTCCGTTGTTTAATTAGGACACTTAAAATGACTCAGAAATGGAATACAATGAGTTAATGACGAACGGATGAGCAATGTGGGCGAGTCCAGGCAGCTTTCAAACCCAACATTTGTCAGTTGTTTGCTGTTAAAGATGGTTATGTGGCAGGGACTTCTTCATTGGGAGATAAGAGCAAATTGTTGCCTCGAGGCAAGTAAAGGCAGATGTTGAGTGTCAGATCAGATGAAAAGAAAAGGGCAGGTGTTGATTTGATTGGACAATAAACAGCTCAACGGTCATTGAGAGACAGTTTGAATGACCTCCGTTGGTGGATGGAAGAAAATAATGTACGTATGGCTTTGACACTGTAGTTCACTTCAGAAACCTGTGTGGACAGGTGGCTTGTTAAGAGTGAGTTTATGGCCAAATGATCAACAGTGGCCAGGTCGTCACAGAGATAAGTGAACACAGTGAAGGCACGAGCCCCAGACCGCTTCCTCTTTAGCACCATAGAGTGGCTTCGATATTGTGTAGCATTTCTGTAGCAACAACTGGATCAAACAAGCTCTTCCATGTGCTTTGCTTTTTTAAACTATCACACAGATAATTTGGAATCATTTGGAAGCTTCGTTTAAAGGCACTCAATGTACGATTTGATTGTTAGTTACAAACATCGCCACGCACAATGACATAGCTTGCCTGTAATGTGCACAACATGCCATCATGTCCCAAAATGCAGCGCCGGACTTTGATTTGAATGAGTCACATGAACTGCAAGAGCTCAATTGCAATTGTCACCAAACAAAAAGCTCCCTCTCTGTCTGGAAGAAATGGGTCTTTTGAGGGACACTGGAGTGGATCCTATTGCCCCGGAGGGAGACAAATTGGGCCCGTCAAGCCTCATTGCGAGAGTGACTGAAATTGGTTTGTGGTTCTGCTTCTGCACCATCCAATAAAGAGAAGAAGCCTCAGAGAGAGCGCGAGAGAGGAGGAAGAATGAAGGAAAATGAGAGCAAAAGGAGCCTGGCTTGGCCATGGCACATTAATGGTGCCAGTGATGCAGAGAAAAAATGGGGTCTTTTTAGCGTTGTAGCACCACAGTGGGGCAGTACAGGCGGACATGGGCGAACAGAGCAGACACACTGCTCCCAACACACACAGGCTGCTGTAATGGGGGCAGAAATGGCCGCCGTCCCACAGGCAATTTCTTCAGGGGACAATCCTCAGAGATGAAATCATTGAAAACCTCACACAGCTTTGGGATGGTAGACAGGATAAGATGAGACGGGGTTGTTTGTGCAACAAATTGAGACAACCAGGGGTGTAACTGACACTCCGAGGAAAGGTCGAGGAAGGAGCTGCCATCAACATCTTGTTACGGCTGGTGAGGAGCCTAGTTAGTTCCCACAGGTGTGCTGACCTCCCCTACTTGTGTTGGGCAAATGATCAGGGGGATGTTCAAGACCGACAGTCCTTTTCTAGCCTTTAAACACACGTCGTCCATGCCTTGTTAGTGTCACAAAATGATGGTAGTCTTACAATGCAAACAGGTCTTACAAAGCGAAGTTCCCTGGGTTACAGATATCCTCTCAGTGAGTAAAAGAGTCAATTTAGCTTCCTTTCGGATGTGTTTTAAAGGAATTGCGTGACATTTCTTCACAGTGATTTCTTTCATTTTCTGCTGGTTTCCTGTCAACCTCACAGTGATGACAAGATTGCAGTACATTACTAAGTCTGTCCAAGAAATGGTCTGGCTCATAACCCCCTGTGACACCACCAAGTGTCATTTTTTACCCCTACATGTTTTTTGTACATATTAACTAAATGAGACATAACCTTTTTTTAATTTGTTAATTAGTCAGCTTTAGAGGTGCTGGTAGATGGATTTTGTTACCTTCGGA